CCTAGTAACGATGAATTCGTCGAGAAAATGGTAATATTTTATGAGAAATAGTCTGTATTTCTCATTTTTTTTATTCTTTTGCGTAAAACTAAAATTCATGCCAATATTTTTCCATGATTTATAAAAATTGGAGTAATGCAAATGCATATTTTCTAAAAAAAGTCAGTTTTTAGTGAAATATTGCCGGGAATGGGGCTTTAAGTATTACGGAATAAACACAGAGCACCAATTTCAACACACACCCTATAATATTTCAATTTTCCTTGAAGAGATTCAGCAGGAACAGGGTCAAAGGTTACCAATGCAGAGTTTGGCGAGGTCACATTGACATTGACATTCCCAGGAGCAGCTTGTGGGGCTGAAATGAAAAATGAAAGAAAATTGAGGCCAAATCTCATATGATATTTTAAGTTCTTATTCAATTTTTAATTAGGTAGATCAAAGGAAATTAAAATAAATGGAAGGAATTTCAAATTATTCATAACTTAATAATAGTTGTATAGTTGGTATCCATTTTTTTTTATTTGGTAAAACTTTAAATAATTTATCCCACTCCTTGCTGTAAAGCAGATAGAGGAATTTTACAATATGCACTATATAAGTTCACAATTATTATTATTATTAATATATTTTAAAGGTATGTCATAAAAAAGTTTTGCTTTTGTATACAGTAAATGATTTTTTAAAGAAATTTAATATTAAAAAGAAAGTTGCGGAAAATTTTTCTAATTTGAATATCATGTCCAAGTGTTTATAATGCTACAAGAGTAAGTAGGTAAAATAGTCTGAGATGGTGAAATATTTTTTCAAAAAAATAAGCACATACTTCCTTCTCCTGAGTATCCAATAATCACTTGTGGTTCTGGGCCATCACCAATATCATTAATAGCGGTGACTTTAATTTGGAATTCCTGGTAGATTTTCGTGTCCGTAACAGTTGTTGAACTTTGACCCTCTGGTACGATTTTATCCATCCAAACAGATGAAGACGTGTTCTTATATTCAATTTTGTATGCGAAACCTTCGCCTCCATATTGCGTAACATCCATTGGCTGTAGGTTCACAAATTAGAAGGTTATTGCATAGTAGTCGTAATATTAATGTACGATCAACAAATGGGTTAAAATGGAGAACAACAAAATGGAGTTTCATTTTCTAGTAACTATATCCCATGATAAGTGAATTACATACTTATTAATGAATAAAAAGTATAGCCGCGTTAGTCTGCACAGTATAGAAAGTATAAAGTAAAACACAGCAGCACTTTTGAGACTAACAATATTTAATTTATTCTCTAGCTTTCGTCCACACAGTGGACTTCATCAGGAGACTGTCTCCTGATGAAGTCCACTGTGTGGACAAAAGCTAGAGAATAAATTATATATTGTTAGTCTCAAAAGTGCGCTGTTTTTTACTTTATACATACTTATTAATGTTATCATGAAGCCATATTTCCAATTAAACAATCAACATGACATAAAATTGCAAAATTAATTTTTTTTTTAATAGTGAGGGTACCAATATCATAATTTAGTTTCTGTTCCGTTCACTTTGTAAATTTTCTTTCAACAAGTTTATAATAGAATATATGTACCATCACTTTCCTTTTGTTGAATAAACATAATCCATAACTGCGTGGATTAGTAAAGATATTAAAATAGCAAATATATATTACTTACATCCCAAGATATAACCATAGTGTTTGGATTATCACTCTGTCCAACCACGTTGCTTGGGTTGACTGTTGGAGATCCTGCTGGAGTTTGTATGCTGTTGCTTGCCTGGCTGGGATTTGATTGACCTACTCCATTGAGAGCAATCACTCGAAAGTAGTATGTTAAGCCACCAGCAAGTTCGAGATAATCAGACGTTTCTGAAGTTCTCTTAAATTCTTTCCATGGAAAGCCCGCATAGGTGGTGGTGTTAAATTCAATGATGTATTCAATAATGGGAGAATTTTTGGGGTTTGATGGTTGCCAGGATATTCTCTTAGCAACTGAAGCATCTCCCCTGTCAACAACTTTAACATCATATGGTGCAGTCGGAACATCTGGCAACAAATAAAGATAACAAAATAATCAAAGCACAAGACAATTACAAATATCCTATTCTACCACTGCATAATTGAAGATACTTAATAATGAATTTATAATAAATGTGGGCCTGAGGTAGTCTATTTCCTAACCTATATAGCCCTGTGCTAAATACTGTTCCTATGTACACATTCCTATATTTTTTTAGGAGTCGTGTTCATGATAAATTAAAAAGTCTTATAAATTTAAAGGATTTTTTACTCATGACTAAAGCTGGTCAGCTGGCAAGATTCCATAAACAATGCAACGTGATGAGGCGTGCATACCAAGTTCATTTTTAATTATTATTATTATTATTATTATTACTACTATGTTATTAAAACCTACCTTAAGGGGGAACAATGGAGAACAATTTAAAAAAAACGATGCTAATGGGAAAATAACACAAAAGACATTCCCTTTAAGTCCGACTTAGAACAATTATTATTATTATTATTATTAATTTTATTATTATTATTATTATCATTATGTACCTTGGACAGTTAGATTTCCACATGATTTTGCTGAGTCGAAAGTCGTGGATGCAGTGCAGCAGTATTCGCCCGTGTCTGATACTTTCGTCTTTAAAATGTCAATGGTGTTACGATCACTGTTGTATCGGAATCTACCGTGGGTCACTTCTCCTGTTGGTTTACCATTTGCAGTCCAAGACCAGACTATCTCTGCCTTTTCATCGTAGGTTGCGGTACAAGTTAATGTGGCCTGAACTGGCTTCTTGACAGTTGTATCTACTACTCCTTGAACTATTGTTGTCTTCGCTGTAGGGTAAAAAATTCAATTATATCAATTGACTACACTATAATAAAAATATGCTTTAACAAAAGAACTACGGCTGTGGAAGCAAATGATGAGGTTATTATTTATAAAATTTCTATAATCAGAAGAAAGAAAAGATATATACAAAAAAAAAAAGCCAAATGAAATATAGGCGTGAAATGGGAGGAATGAACCTGTAGCTAGGTGGCTATGATGTCTACCTTATATTCCCAGGGTCTTGGGTTCATATCAAGTTACACCAAGATTTCTTTTTCACTTTAGGCAAGACTTTTTTTATTCCTTGTTTCACATATTTATTTTTTTAAAGATCATTGGAGGAGGGTGGATTAAAAAAAAAAAAAAAAATGTTTATTTTCTTCTTTAGAAAATAGTTTTTCCAAAAACATCCAGACGAAGGAGAAAATTAAAATAAAATGTTATTGGTGAATGTAAAATAGGATGAGTAAATGCTTCAAATGTGTATAATGAGGAAGAAATATGTGTATCTTATACTTGGAGATATCAAGGCAGTGGAGGGCGTAATAAATATAAAGAAAAACTTTTAATTTTTTTTCCTTAAATTTCCAAATCGGCCAAAAATAAAATTTTATTTTTATTCAAAATCACCAATATCTGCAGTTGGGGGGTTTGCTAAACTAGGTATAAAAAACAGTCTAGCCTTACCAAAACAAAAAAAAAAAAACACTCCTATATGGAGGCTTAATTTATAAAGCATCTATCTAGTAAATGGTGAGAAACTCGCTGCTAGATAAGAATAAAATAATAAAAAACTACAACTAAGGAACACACTTACTTCTGAATACAATACTGCCTGTAGCTTCAGACTCTCCTCCTTTGTTGACTACCTTGCAGGTGTAATCACCTTCATCTGTTTTGGCTACATTCTTGATCGTTAGGCTACCATCTGCATTCACTGTATACTTATCATTATTAGAAATCTGGTTAACAAATACATTCACAATGGTCAATATTAAGAAACTTATAAAATATATTCACATGGGACTTGCCATGCCAAAATAAGCATCAGTGCCCAAAACCAGAAAATTGACTTTTTAATATATTCATATATTAATATATTCATATATTCATATTTCCACATGTAACTTGTGAGTGAATTCTTAAACTATGTAGGTCTGTGTTACAGTATAATAGTACTATAAACATAAGCTTTCAAATGGTAAGTTATTTACTGGAATAGATTTACTATTGCAGACCTGCCAATCCCTGGGCCATGAAAATCTGGAGATTTTTTTTTTTTAATCTTAAAAAAATCTGGAGATTTACTAAAAAATCTGGAGGTTTCAAAAATTAACGAAAATATGATGTAATTTACTAAAACAGACACGTCAAGACAAATCATAGTGGTATAAAGTAAGCGGTACTAAATTACTGCAAGACAACTTATTAAATTGATGCTTGTCTATCGCGGCGAATACATTCAATAATAACGATCTAATCAATCATTTATGTATAAATTGGAGTATTTTGAGGAGGAAACCTGTAAAATCAGTGACATCAGATGAAAATTACATTCGATCGGGAGAACTTGAGACTTGTTTAGATATTGGGTGACACCCGACAGGATCGGGTGAGTTGGCAGGTCTGCTATTGCCAAACTTATGAGTAAAAGTATTTACTTACGGCTTGCTTCTCTGTACCGAAGTACATCATTTTGTCGCATTCATTCAATCACTTAAACACTTAGGTACAGTATACTGGTTTTGGGATAGCAAGTCTCATATGATTAACAATGTGACAATTTTTGTCTTCAAGGTAGCATTTAGATAATTAATATTGCTATAGAATTCATTGAAACTTTAACCATAAAAACAACAGATAAGCTGAAGAAACAATAGAAAAACAACATAAACACATATAATCCATACAGACCTGACCAGATTTGCCTTCCCATGTGACAACTGGGGCTGGACTTCCAACATATCCACAATTTAGCGTCACTGATTCACCTTCGGCCGCCTCTTTGTTTTTTTCTGGTGGTGTTGTAATCTCAGCCTCAACAACTACAAACATAAATAAAATATATTTAGTTACACATTTTTTAATGGTACTAAGTTTACGTTGTTAGTTACTTTTTTTCATTCACTTTATTTATTGAAAAAACACATGCCAGTATTACAAATGGTGGCCCAATGGGCCAAATTGCTTGTGATATAACATAAGGCAATATATAAAAAATACAGATATAAAATATCAAAACACAAAGATATAAAAATTACATATAAAAAATACAAATTGAACCGAAAATTAGTAGCACCAATTGGGAAGGAGGGTGGCACACTCAAATCATCAAAGGTAATATTACTGAATAAATTATAAATCATTGAGTAATCGAATATAATATTAGAGATTGGGCTATTAAAAAATCTATTGGTTTTTGTGCTAAATTGCATGATTTTGTTACCATTGCGGAGGTTTTTATTGTGGCAGTGGTACAAGTACGTGGTACAAGATCAAAAGAATGTGATGTTGAAGTGAGACCCTTGGCTAATTTGAGACAGTGTGCGACCCTCCTTTCCGAGAGCAGTTTGAGTTCACAAAGGCCAAGAGCATGTTCGTAAGAGTTGAAATTTCTGCCTAGGATAATATGGCATGCTCTTTTCTTTATCACTTCAATGGTGTTACTTAAATATTGAGTGAGACCTGGGTGCCACACAACATCAGCATATTCTAATATTTGCCCAATATACACTTTATAGACTACACAGAGTTCTTGTTTATCAAGTCCAAACTTTTTAAGATTTCGGAGCGCTTTCTATTGGCCTTAGTAACAATATTGTTAACTTGGTCGTTCCATTTATTTAAGTGTAACGCCTAATATTACAGTTTAAGTTTGCCATCAAAGCAAGGTTGTATAACTGGTGGGTTTTTTGCAAAGCATTTACTTCCTAAATGTTCAACACATAAAATAAAAATACAGTTTATTTTATCAAATTATAAATATTTTAATGTGTAACTGGGTGAGTCAGAAACACTGACTATTACCTAAAGCGGTTATGTTCGCTTTTGTGTTTCCTTCCAGCTCACTCAGTTGGATGTTTTTCTTTGTACTGTTTGTGTGTTATGTTTTGGAAATAAAAAGTATAAGAATAACTCAAACAAAAAACTAATTTATGTAGGAAATAGCAATAAAAACAATAATTGGGTGGTGAGTTGAATGGCAGAGTGGTTAATGCAGGGGCGCCGCAAACCTATAGCCGTTATGTCGGAGCTGGATCGAACATTACACTCGCCCATGGTTCTTCTCAGATAAGGACTCTAAACTATAGGCCCAGTGTACACAATTGGCTCGTGTGCACTTTAAAGAATCCATCAATCCTTCGAGAAGAGTAGGGGGTTACCCTGGTGTACTTGTCCATTCAGCCTCTGTTGTTGTGGAAAGACGAAAGTTCACTTCTTGGCAGCTGATCGGACAGGATGTGACCCTTGGGGAGGAGAAGAAAGTTGTAGAATGAATTGGTTCACGTAGTTTAACCTATTTAAACCTGCCTTTACCTTTATTTTTTTTTTTATTTCCCTTACATCCAACAGCAAGTACACTCACCACTTACAGGATGAGAATGATGCTTTTAAACTAAGTCTCTTTATAAGGCTTAGGGAGTGGAGTTGTTTTTGGTCTTGAGAAAAAGTGCTGCTGTGACAGGAATTGAACCCAGGACCCTGGGATCAGAAGGCAAGCATCAACTCCACTCTTTTACATCTAACAATAATGTAGGAAATAGTTTTTACCATTCACACTAAGGATGGCATCTGCCATTATCTTGCCATGTTTGTTCTCAGCAACACACTGGTACACACTATTATCTTCTGTTGTTGCTCCGGTAATAGTAACAGTGTTTCCAGAAATGACTCTACGATCAACTGTTGCTGAAGACAAAAAAAAAATATGGTTAATACATGATTTCATTATAACAACTGAAAATAGAATTTGATACACAAGATCATTAGGCAAGGCTTTATTTATACTTATTTCGCAAACATATTTTTTTATAGATCATGAGGGGAGGGTGGAAAGGGAAGAAACATACATAATATCTTATTTTTGGCGATTTCAGGGGAGTGGAGGGCGTAATTAAAATATATATATAAAATTTTATTTTGTTATGAAATAAAAATGAAATTTTATTATTAGTTAAAATTACCATTTTTGACAGTGGGTTTTGCTGAACAAGGTATAAAAAGTCTTTGCCATACTAAATAAAATAAAATCAGTGTCTATATTGACACATATTTTAATAATTATTACAATATTTTATATAACTACATTTACACTGATCATTGGATGCAGAACATATCATTAAAAATCATCACAACGCTTAATTAGACCATGATGATAGTATAATTTATTAATATTTTTACCACTATCACTATTATAAATATTATAATAATATATATTTTCATTATTATCATTTTCTTAGTTTCCACATCACTTTCACCATTGATGATGAACAATCATCATTATTTTCCATTATTTTAAGAACTTATAAAAATTGTTGATACCAGTGGGGGTACTCATAATTTTAATAATTTTCTGGAATCTATAGTCATTTTCATGCCTACTTACCAGGTGCTGCTCCATTGACGAGCCAACTAATGTCTGGTGGTGGAACACCAGTAGCTTCACATGTAATGGTGGCAGTTTCTCCTGGGGCAATTGCAACATCATTAGGCTCCTTAATCCAAGACGGTGCAGCTGAAGATAACAATAACATTGGCATAAAACATGAAGCACATGCTAAATGATACAAGGACCCAAATTTTTCCTACCTAAGTCAAAGTTATCTTCACACAACTGAAGTAAAACTTTTCTAAAACAATTGTTACATATAACGGTGAAAATTGTGAAATTGTTAAATATAACTTCTGGCTCTTGTGCACTTTAAAGAACCCAATGCATCTTTCAAAAGAATAGGGGGTAACCCAATGCTGTGGTTCATATTTCAGCCCCTGTCGATGCGTAATATTGTAAACATACAGCTCCTATAAGCGCCCCTTTACAGCAGCTAGCCGTCACAGACACACACATATGCAATTCATATATATATATATATATTCATATATATATATATGTGTCTAGCTAAGCAGTTAAAAGAAGGAAAAAAAACAAAAAAACGGTAAAAAGTGTCTTAAAGGAATTCAGCAAAACTTTCAGTGAAGAGGTGAGTTTTGAGTTGTGTTTTAAAAACTGAAGTGAGTCGGCATTCCTGATTTCATCTGGAAGTGCATTCCATAAGGTAGACGCCGCCGAGGTGAATGCCCGTGAGCCGTATGTGATGGTAGTGCTTTTCGGAACTTTTAGAAGATTCTTAGAAGCGGATCGGAGAGAGCGTGTTTGCGTGCAAGGAGTCAGGAGTTCGGTGATGTATTCTGGAGCGAGATTGTTCATTGCCTTGTATGTTAACAGCAATGTTTTATAAATAATTCTTTTGTCGACAGGAAGCCAGTGAAGATCATATAGTATGGGTGTAATATGGATACGTCGCTTAGTTAAGGTAACCAGAGTTAAGGTAATTATTATTATTCTCCTTTTCCTATAGCAGAAATTGGACTGACCTTGAACTATTAATTCAAAAGATTTGATGATCTCATAGTCTCCAGACACAGCAACACACGTGTAATCTTTAGAATCGGAGAGTTTCACATTGGTAATAACAAGCTCTTGACCGAAGCTGGCAATACTGAAACGGTCATCATTCTCAGGATAGTCTTCCCATTCAATGTCAGGTGTTTCACTGAAATAATGAAAAGGTGATCAAATAAGTTAATTTGGGATATGTTAAAGATTATACTTAATCACTTTTCTAAACAGCATATCCCTTCATAAGACAAACAAATGTGCTCTACATAAACTCACTGTGAGGCTTTGGGAGTGAAGTTCTTTTTGGTTAAGAGAAAAAATGCTATACCAATATAAGGATTGAGTCCAGGACTTTGAAATTGTAAGACAAGCATCTTTACCACCAAGCTATATAACTCCACTCATGTTCTTTGAAATTTAAGCTAGTGAACCTTCTTGTTTATTTCTTTCAACTTTAAATAAAACTCATAAAAAAACCAATATCAATCATCATTTGTTATGCCTTTTTACTGTTAGTCAACCCTACCTTCTCTCTAATAATTTTGTATATTTGACGATAATTAAGTAGATATTACTATCCAAAAATGACTCCAGACCCCAAAATGTCAAATGTACACAAATAATTTACACTTTTCTAGTTAGATTCATTTAATGTAGGTTTTTTTTTTTTTTAGTACAATTTTTTCCTGTGAGTTACCAAGCCATTGACTACCCATACAATGATGATGATGACATCTGGTTGATTACTTGAGATATTTCTACTCGAATGTGCCCCCAAACCCCAAAAAGTGCTGTTTTTGCCAGGAAGGGCCAACTCTGACTGGTCATTGCAAAAAATCGACTGAATTTTTTATGGAGAACTTTTAATATAATACGGGAAACATACTTAATTAACAACATACACTCTCAAAAAGCACACCATGAATGCGAGAACGAAATCCATTAAAGTTTTTGATTTACAGCCAGTGGCCTAATAATATAAAAACCAATATCAATCATATGTTATGCTTTTTTACTGTTAGTCAGCCCTACCTTCTCTCAAATAAATTTTGCATATTCTGACATTACTTACTAGCCATCTGCAATACACTTAAGAGATGTGTCTGAACCAACAAGAGCTTCGTTTTGAGGGTCAGGAAAGGATACCCATTGTGGTTGCCGTGGCCCTGTGGGCTCTCCTGTAGATATAAACATTACACCAAAAAATTTGAAAGACAAACAAAAAAAATGTATATATACAGTACATATACACATAACACATTATACATGTACAGTATACATATTCTATATATTTATGTACGTATGTATGTATTCATTTATTCAGTTGTTTACATATTTCAGCTTTCAAAATTTGATGAATAGATTTTATGGTGGTCTAATTAAATACTAAACACTTTATAAAGTATGATAAAAACAGTAAAACCATTGAAACAGCAATCATGAAATGACTTTGTATAAACTTCTTATGTTGGAATTTTATACATGTCTAGGAACCCTCTGTTACTACTTTCACTAAAGCTCTGTCAATGCCATCAAATTTCTTTGACGAAAATCTGTTGTTCGTATGCAAATGTATCGTCATGATGTGCTTTTATACGGTCATGATGTGATGTCATCATAAAGATATTTAGGTATGTCACATGTTTTTGTCCAATAAAATTTGATAGTCTGGACAGGGTTTTAAGCTCTACAACCATCAAGTTTTATATGAAAATTTGTGTGATTTGTACATATTGCATTGATTCATGGCCATGATGATGTCATATCGCACTGATACATGGCCATGATGATGTCATATCAAACTCATACATGGCCATGATGTCATATCACACTCATACAGTACATGGTCATGATGATGTCATATCACACACATACATGGCCATGATGATGTCATATTACACTTATACATGGCCATGATGATGTCATATCACACTCATACACGGCCATGATTATGTCATATCACACTTATACATGGCCATGATGATGTCATATCAAACTCATACATGGCCATGATGATGTCATATCACACACATACATGGCCATGATGATGTCATATCACACTCATACACGGTCATGATGATGTCATATCACACTCATACATGGCCATGATGATGTCATATCACACTCAAACATGGCTGTGATGATGTCACTTCACATCCATATATTATATGGGGAAATCATAGATAATTGTCACATAAAACTTGGATAAAAATTTGGAAGTTGAAAGGTAGTTTGAATGAACCTTCCTGCTAAGCTCCCTTGAATATTTTTGCTAACATCCAACAAAACGATGGTGTGAAAACATACGCAAACTTGTGTGTTTGGAGGACAAGGTGTGAGGTTGCGAGACACGCGCGTATTCCTGGCCTTGTTCTGATTGGTCAGTTGTTAGGTTTGATTGACACTCTGGAAAGGTCAACGAACTCCCTTCCGTAAAGTATATTTTCATCTCCCATGAAAATGTTTAAAAGAAGTAAATCACCATTAACATACCTGAAACTACTATCCTTTTGGCAGGCGAGTCCTGTATCTTGGACAAAATCATGTTGTTAACTTGACAAACATAAAATCCTGCATCTTCCTCAACTACATCACCAATTATCAGGTCACCTGTAGTTGACTGGCTAACACGTACTGTATAATCTATAAGTTTATACTTGTTGTTGAGGTCCTTTGTCATTGCCCAGCTTATCTTTACTTTGGGAAATGACTTTGGAGGATTACAATTCAAAATAACCTTTTCGTTGGGCCGCCTTGTAAAACTTGATACCTTATCGGTAAATGGATCCATATCTAAAATTAAGGTACATGTAATGTCAGACATGGAAGTTTAATTAATAATAATAATAATAATAATTCAATATGTAATATAAAATACAATAACAAAGTTGTGCGAACTAGCAAAATAAGGTAATATGAGGTGAATTTTAACAACTTGAGTATCATTTTTTAGGTTCAAAACATTTCAGGGAGAGGGTGACTAGGGGCATGAACTTTCTTTGAGAGGGTTGTGGTGTCCTTATGCACCCCACGCACAACTGAATACATTAGTATTATTAGCTGTGAACTGGTGATTAAGATGCTTGCTTTCCAAACCCCAAGGACCAGTGTTCAAATCATTAGGAAGCAGGATTTTGTTTTTGCATATGAGATCTCCACTCACTCAGCCTTAAAATAGGACTAATTTAATTATCAGAGTATTTTTCTTTCACCCCTGAATATTATCTGATCCGGGTTAAGCTAGAATGGTCATAATAATAATAATAATAATATAGAGATTCATACTGCGCCTGTTGCCAGGGGATATAAGGCTGGTGATGTTATTATTTCGGATCCACAGTCAATCAAGCAAAAAGTGCAACCTCCTCCACTCCACTCAAAATTACAAGAAAAATACAAAAGACAAGAACCGACTGACACAAGGAACAACAAGAAGATAGAAGAATACCAATACCGAAAAGTAAACTAAATCAACTATCGAGTGGTTTCCCCAGCAATCAATCAACCCAGCAATCAATCAATCAATCGATATTAATCAATCAATCAATCAATATGAACAAATAATTATCTTGGAAGCTACTAACAAGAATTATAATTAACTCACATGCTAAAATAGCATCTATCTCCTGTGACAGAGCTGTTCCCCTACTGCTGGTTGCATTGCACTGGTACAAACCATTGTCATCTCTCGTTGGATTATTTATACTCATATTTCTTCCAGATCCTGCAAAGCTTATCCTGTCATCACTATTAATAATACTACCATTTCTTGTCCATACAAATCTACAATGAAATGATACTTTGAATTATGATAATAATAGGTAATTAGATTTGTGTTAAAAACATGTTAAATTTATATTTTGTCTGTACTTTTTGATTTTTATCATTTGATTATATTTTATTGTATGTGTTTCTGGGTCCTGGAGGATAACAATGCTTTTTCAATAATCTGGCTAACCCATAATAAAGAAGAAATAAAATAAAAATAATAATAAACAAAATTATTTTTCAATTGGAATTCCAATGAGGCTTGAGTGATTGAGGTATCATCTACTTGGAAGCAACCAAACCTTATCAGAAGGTCTTGGGTTTAATTCAACAAAAAATAAATACAATACGTTTGTCCGTCCATTTTTCATTGCAGTTGATTGGATATTCATCATGGTAGCACACTCTATGCTCTGGCAAATATTAAGAAATAAGCTTGTAAGCCAACATGTCAAAGTTGGCAGTGTCAGATTTTGTTTGATGAAATCAGTTTTTGTGTCTACTGCTTTTCAGAGGAACTTAGATTTTGTGCTTCTAAAACGTCACATTAACATGACCGTCTTAATCCAGTTTCAGTTATTTTAGGTCGGCTCAAGTATATTTTAACAGGGATCCCACAGGCCGCCAGTAGAGTACCCCTGCTTAAGGTGCCTATCACTGAGCCCTCACAATACTTACATAGGTTCTGGTATGCCTTCAGCATCACAATTAAATACAGCTGGTTGCCTAGGATCAATAGGGTATTTTCCTAAAGGTTGATTTCCATAGCTATCCGACATCCCACCATGCCATAGATATGTGATCTTGGGTGGAGATGAATCTAGTAGTGAAGTAAACATGTTAATGATAAAAAGAAAATCTTCTGTTCATTTATTCATTCTTTCTTTATATTGAATATACACTTTCAATACATATTACTGATTTCCAAAGTGGTTTAGTTCTTAACTACAAAAACTTTAAAAGCAGATATGTACACACTGAAACAAAAAAGAGTAAAAACTTAACTACTTAAAAAATAGATAAAAAGGAACACAGGAAGAAACTTAAGAAAATAAAATATTCAAATAATAATGCAAGGTAAGAAAAAATCAGGTTATTTTACATTCATTAACTAATGTGCTATACTAAACACATATTTCCAGACTACTATCACACTATCAAATTTTAGGTGAGAAATACCTGTGATTTACCCTTATGGTTAGGTAGTATATGACATCATCAAGCAGATGGGCAAGCAGTGGCATATTGCCTGGTCACAGGGCCCGATGGCAAGATAGTATAAGGGTCATGCATTTTAGTAATCAAAGTCAGAGGCCCTTCCCAATAGAATATCAATAAAAGCGTATGCTGTTACATTACCATAATTTATGAATTATAGTAGCCTTTTCTTCATTATTTCGGACTATTTAAATTTGATGTGAAGTGGAGCCCAATGGTGAAACAAAAATTAAATAGATTCAAGATTCAAAAGTTAATTCATCCTCAGTAAGGAAATTTCATTTCTTACATCGGAACAGTACAGTAGATAAAATACAACAAGAAGAAAGTTAAAAACTGTAAATGGTAAGTGTTAAAAATAATACATAAGGTAAATAAATAGGAAACTAAAAAGGATTAGAAGTATGAGGTTTGAAGTTTGATGAAGACAATATATTTATCATCGTACGCCATTTATAATGTTATTACTAATGTTTTTTGGAACATGATTATGTGTCCCATATAGTACCAGATGTTTTATTATAGAATGCATTAATGATATGCAATGTGTTGATCCCACTAGATCTTACATACTGTATCAACAAGAGACCATAGTACAGCAATGAGTTTCACATTGCTATACTAGCAACAGTAGATGGATTGGTCAGGTAGATTAGTAGTATGGGATCAAGGAGAGATTAACATCTTGTAAGTTGAGGATTAGGCAATACTTTATGTCTATCATTATCATGACCAGACACAAGCATTTATAATTCATTACTTTTATATTGCTAAATGTATTTTATCTATATTTAAAGATCACCCTTTAAATTGTTTTGACATATATGGTACTACTTGTTTCATTATTTTTTAAGAAGTTATTTAAAATTTTTTCAAATTTTTAATTATGTATTAAAAATGAACAAAAATATTATATAAAATATAATACTTATTGAAATTAAATCATAGTTTTTATATAATTGTATTGAATTTAATAAACTCTTTATATGTTTAAATCTTACATATCCAAGACCAAAAGTTGGTTAAAATTCTTTTTATTTTTTATTTATTTTTTTATTCAACTTTATTTACTGAGGGTGAACCAAAACAGCAATTGCTGACGAACATGGGGACCTCACATAAAAACATTATAGTTAATAAAATTCATAATCACAAAAGCTAAACAGCAAAATTAAAAAGAGAGAATTATACAATTTAAATAATATAAAAATAATAAATAAATAAATAAATAAAAAATAATTCATGTACAATGAATAAAAAATGCATTAAAAAAGCTCAATAAGATTAACAAAAATATCAAATCGATCAAAAATTCAGTTTATTGCATTAAATAGTTATTAAATTCTATTAGCATATGCCTGAATTTTTAATCAACCTACCTGCTGCTAATGTTATACATAACATCAAACTTATGATAAAAGTCGCAAGACAAAATTCTCCGGCCATCCTGAGAAGTTGTCCCTAGCGGCCTTGCAAAACTACAGCAATAATTCCTAATTGAAACAAGAAAAAAATTTATATTTAATTTTACAGAAAAGACAAGGAAATGGAATTGGACAGGTCATATCTCATCACAATACTTTGAATAGATAAAACTGCGAAATTAAGCAGGATTATTTGACAACATTTAAATTTCTATTTACTATTAACTAAAACAATTTACATCTACTATGCATGACTCCACAGACGTGGGTTATAGATTCCATACTTTTATAGCCTTGTACTTTATGGAAATTAATTGTGCTGAAATGTTAGCTACCGGCTTTATTGTAATTGAATCTCACTTGTTTATGGTAGTACAATTTCATGCACTTTGCCAATGTGCAAGAATGTAGCATCAAAGCCAATCACTGGGATGGACAACTCAGGATCTTGACATTATTAACATGCATAATAATGCAGACTGAATCTCAATTCTTATTAGACCATGACACTCAAAATTCTTAATGCATTTAATTTAAGGAAAATATGGTATTAGTTATTAAATTCACACAAAGAAACTACTTCTGAAAAGCAGATCTCTTGTATAATATCATGTCAACAAGGGGAAAGTATTAAAAAGAATTTTAATATTATTAAGATATAACAGTTAATAAAAACATTTGATAAGTATAGCTATTCTTATGTCCCTTTCATTGGTGAATAAAACTGTAAAGATTAAACAACACAAACAATTGTTTATAATGAATATATCAACCCACAACAAACAAACCATTGTTTGTCATTGAAGTAAAGGATAATATTATATATATATATTTTTTTGTGTTTCATTTTTGATGTTTTGGTATTTCAAAGATTTTTGTATCTGATGTTTTGAATTAGTGATGTACTTTTTTATTGTATTTATATTTGAATGTATTTTATATGCAAGGTTTTAAATTTTATTGAGCATTCAATTTCTTCATTTGGAGATAATAAAATTATTCTGATTCTGATTATAAGGAAGACGATCATTATCACATTATTTTTGTCTCAATAGCGAGTCACAATTTACAATTACTTCAATAACAATGATGAGCAACATTATGTAAATTAGAAGGATGATGCCACTTTGTAGAGTAAAGTTGAAAATGATGTATAGTAAAACATTTAAAAAAACATATGAAAACAAATCACCTATAAAACCAGACGCTGTCAAAGTGACACACTGTGCCTAATTAGATAAAATGTTATTGTAATGTTCTGTTAAATACATTACGTACAGCAGTTTATATATAGAAATTGAAATAATTGTTTTTATAATGCACGGTTGAATGTTTTAACTTATTGGCTTTATAGTAATTATGAGTACTATTTCTTGTTTCTGTAAATATGGTAAACTACCATCTTACAAGTGAGCCCTCTATAGGTGAGCTGATACACAGCCAATAGTATAGACAATTTCTGCAGCTGCTTCAATTTTCAAGTCAAAAACATTACAACTGTACCTACAGAGACTTGATTTTGTCTCAATAATGTTTACAAATAATCATGACTTAGTAATAGAAGACCTCCTGGAGGAAGGGGAAAGGCCAAACCCACTGTCAGACGCAAATCGTTGGAATAGAAAAATTATTTAGCAATAATTAATATGTTCTAAAATGTCTTAAAACAGTTTCAAATGTGGTCAGTTGGGTTTCAGAAACAGTTCTTTTTTTTGCTTTATTATAAATGTTATTGAAATCACCATCCTCCAACATTTTTCATTTTCACACATGTAGCTATTCTCTCTGAAAAATTCCTCTCAATTCCACTGAAAAGTGCTTAGTTTGAATTAAAATCTATTTATTTTAAATTCTCTTTGATGCTTTACACATTATCTAGTTTCCGAGATAAATACTTAGATTATCCACATGATAAATACCTATGATTATCTCCAATGCTGTAGCCAGGATTTTTAAACAGTGTGGGACAATATCGGGGTAAACCCACTTTTAAATTTAAGTAATGTGGATCGATTTTCTTTAAAAAGTTACCCATTTTACACAAAATATGAGAAATCTGGACAAATTTTTTTAAGGTTGACCCATTTCACACAAAATATGAGAAATCTGGACTCAATTTTAAAATGTGAACCCATTCTTTGTGGACCCAATAGAAAAATTTTGTGGAACTGTCCCAACTGTCCCAATAGCTGGCTTTGGCATTGATCATCCCATCATGGGCATGATGATATTATATATGGAAAGAGCTTTAAGCCTGGTTCTCACGAGAGCCCTAGTATCCGGAGCTAACCGTTAGCACCTGCATGAGAACGCCCGATCGGTTAGCGCTAATGGTTAGCAAGCGCTATCGGTTAGCAAGTTAAGGGCGCTTCTATCATCAACCAATCACACATACGCGTTTACAATTTCCAGTTTCTTATTGGCCAGTGATTCGATCATCATATTGTTGGTATCCGGATCGGGATTTTCTCGCATGGACGCACGGCAGCTAACGGTTAGCAGGATCCGGATCCTGCTAACCATTAGCTGCCGTGTGAGAACGTAGCCAGATAATCACAATTATTATCACCATCATTACAACTATTTTGATACTTTTGTTTTGCTCGAATCAGCATCAACACTTTTTTAATCAGATTCCAAAATATGTATTCAATATCATGTTAATGCCATTGATACCCATTGTGAAATTTGTCACAGGCATTCTGTTAAGTGATGTTTTTTTTTGACTACCTTCATCTTTAACAAAAACCTCAGCATTGTATACCAAGTTTGAATTAATTGGTCTAAGTTCTCTAGTTAACCAAAGGGCGTGAAATCGACACCTCTGAATCTGTCCAAGCAGACTCGAGGCGCACGCGATTATATCAATGGTTACAGACACCAAGAATTGTCCTGCTGTATCAGTTTCCTTTGACGGCACGTGTGAATAATCAACACAAGTCAGGCGTGTAAAAACACGCAGATCAAAATAGCCAAGGGTTAGCTTGTATAATATAGGAATCTCTTACAGTTGAACAAAGCAGCTTATGGGTATAGTCAGTTAGATAAACACACTTCAGAAAGGGGTTGTCTTTTAATGAGCACAAAAGCTTAAATGGTTGATAATACTGTTGATTGCTTAAGAATTATTTTGTAACAAAATATTTGAATCAATAATAAAATCTATAGAATTAAGAAATGTATTTATTTATATACAAAATATATGCAGCATATTATTATTAAGATTTTAGTTGTGTTCAATATAATAATGATAATTATGATAGTGAGAGGAGGCCCTGCCTAACAGGAGGTGGAATATAAAGTAATGTGAATATTTTCCTTCAGTATCACGACCTTTTGTTTTCCTTCACTTACCCCTCCTCATACAATGTAGTCGTCGCCATCATTTTTGTCACTTTCAAATATGCTTGTCGCTACACGTGAATGAGGGTTTCTACAACCTGGTTCAATTTGGTTTTATTTTGGGCAGGATTGTTTTTGAAAAATGATGTCTATTTAACATATTTTGCTTTCCAGGCTAATTTGGGCCTTCCTTTCATCATAGAGTATTTAAATTTCAATGCAGGCTAATCCGTATAAATACTATATTACTGTGCATATGATTCTGTAATAGTTTTGATTTTTAAATGATTAAATTAAATGTTATATTCATTAGAGGTATGTAGATTATATAAATACTATACTTATGAATAGTAGGCAATAGTTGGAGAAACATGCCTACTGTATTTGGTGATAGTATTTGATGCTGCTTTTTTTTTTTTTACTCTGAGGGTAGTATATCATAAATGTATACTTTTTCTTCTTCATTCATATTGTATGCTAATTAAAGCATCGTAATTCTTTAAACTGTACTGTATGGCATAATAAAAATCCATTATATCAAATTGTACATCAAAATCTCCATTGTAGCATCAGACTAGTTATAGCATGCAGTTTAGCCCTTGGACACAGACTGTTCGATGATCGCGTATTGATCAATCATTAGCCAAATAAAAAAAATTACTGGTTTTTCGTCCCCTCGCGCATCCATTTTTTCTGCCTCACAAATTTTTTTTAAATTTCCTTTATTTTTCAAAAATTGTTGACTCGTATTAGTAAAATTCCTCTCTCAATCGTTCGTGGTTGGGGATACATATGGTATGAATCATGTCTAGTGCTTCTTTTATTTGCTTTCAATGTGTCTACTTGGTAAAGTGAGAAGAGAGTAGCTGTTTCCCATAGACCATCTCGGATTTGCCATTTCAGAGTAAAACAAAAAAATGCCCTCATTCTCCATTACGTTTCAAAATATTAGGACAAGAAACTACTTTTTTTCTTACTTGGCCTTACTAGTGCCGTTGGAGAGTGATGACAATTTTGTTATCAGATTCTAAATACAAACCAACCTAGAACAAACCACCACATCAGTGAAGTAAGGATATATTATAAGAAGATGAAAACCATTACTTTAACATGTTTTATGTCTCTATAGAGAGTTGCAATTTATAATCACGACAATAACGACGATGGGCATCATTATGTAAATTAGTAGGATGATGTATAATGCCACTATGTAGAGTAAAGTTGACAATGATATCCAGTAAAAACATTAAAACAACACATGAAAAACAAATCGCCAAAAAAACCAGATGCTGTCAAAATGACACTGTGCTTAACTGGATTAATGGTCATATTATTAAAATGTCCTGTGAAACATATTTCGTTTTCATTTTTTCATTTCATTTCTTTAGGCACAAGCACCAAGGATATGCCAATCAGTATCCTACGTGGCACATCTATTAAACGAAAGCGGACTGAATGGACCAGTACACCGGGTAACCCCCTACTCTTCTCGAAGGATGTACTGGGTTCTTTAAAATGCACAAGAGCCAAATGCATACACTGGGCCTACACTTTACAGTCCTTATAGACTCCACCACCAGAACCATTGGCGAGTGAGCCGTTTGAACCAGCACCAATATTATAGCTAAAAGTTAGGGTACCCCTGACTTAACTGCTCGGCCAATCAACTTGCCATAAACAGTAGTTTATCAACCAATCAACTCGCAAAGTACAGTAGTTTATTAGAA